CTCTCTCTCTCTCTCTCTCTCTCTCTCTCTCTCTCTCTCTCTCTCTCTCTCTCTCTCTCAACGCAGCGCATAATTCCGTGCACCCCACTAACTTCTGCGTGCGCTCGAAATCGAAATGCGACATGAAGTTTGAGTTCGGCTCTACCAGAAGAAGAAGAAGAAGACGACGAGGAGACTAAGAAGAAGAAGACGAGGAGACTAAGAAGAAGAAGAACTAGAGGAAGCAGAGGACCGGTAGAGGGGACGCTCGACGGCGGGCCGGGGCGATGGCGACTCCACGGAGGCGGGAGCGTTCGACGAAGTGTCGAAGTGGTGGGAGGCTGGAGGTGGGGGGGAGGGTAGGCCGATGTTGGGGCGGTGTCCTGCCCGAATGTTCCAAAACCGGCGGCCTAGCTGGGCCACCGATCTCACAAGATCGACGGTCCAGATAGGCCGCCAGTTTTTTAGCAATCGGCCGGCCCTACCAGACCTGGTTCAATTTTTTGGGGGGCCGGGAGGCCTCCACAACCCGAATGGCGGCGTCACTGCCGGGTATGCAGCCCTACTTTTAACTGACCATTTTTTGTTAGGAAAATATTGAGTCTTTACGTCGTTTACGACCTCCCAAGGGAATCCACTGCCACCTGAGCTACATTACGCGTTATACAGAGAAAGGAGAAGAGAAATTACGTGTTATCGTACTAAGCAAAACTGTAGAGAGAAAGGAGAACACAATCCTGAGCTGAAATGTGCATGCTGTGGTGCATTGTGTGGCGCAGTAACTGGCCATGTGCGTGCACTGTGAACACGTCTGCAGTGCGCACTATGCTGCACGGCCTTCCTGTTCGCTGCATGCAGATGCACGGATCTGTGCACAGTGTACACAGGTGCAGATTGTGCATGCAGCCCGAGCAGGGCAGAGGACAAAGGATTGATGAAGTGGAACAAGAGGTTGCTAGAGAAGCACGGATGGGCTAAGGAATGTGGTGAAGTAGGGTGCTGAGAGAGTGCCAAAGGATGGGGACCCAAAGGTCGTCGCATGAAAGGGAGGGAGCAGCAATGGAGGTGTAAGCAGGATTGAGGAAGATGAAGGGGGAGAGACGAGAAGAGGAGGGGGAGGGAGGAGGGGGGGGAATGAGCGTGAATGTGGGGGAGAGGAGAGGAGGGATAAATGAGTGTGAATGTAGGGAAGAGGAGGGAGGAGGAGGGGGAATGGGCGTGAATGTGGAGGAGAGGAGAGGAGGGGGAGGGAGGAGGAGGGGGAACGGGCATGAATGTGGGGGAGAGGAGAGGAGGAGGGTCAAAGGGGAGTGGGAGGAATAAGCATGGGCTGAGCTGTAGCGGAAGGTGTTGTGGCTTGCCACGATGCGCAGCATTTTCTTCGGACGCGCTTCTTTCTAAAATGAAGTTGAAAATTGAAATACACTAAATCAATCAACTTATGAAAACTCAACAGTGGTCAGCGCTGACTTTGGAAGAAAGATACGTAATAATGTCATAATTAATTAGCCAAGTCATTGTTCCCATCATTACTTCTGTAGGTTTGCTCAACTTTGCTGGTAATAGGAATATGATCTGAAAAAAAGTAAAAAAAGTAAAAAAAACTCAACTCTGAATACCATATTTTCTAAAACCAAGTTGTGCTCCGAATACCCGTGCAGTTAATCCCCGATAACAGGGCAATCAATGCTGGCAGGTTCTTGCTGTAAGGGGACGCTGGACCCGTTTTCCAGCAGGTGCTGCTCCCCACACCAATAGACTGGAGCACCCGGGATTCTCACGAGGGGGGTGCTCTTATTACCTGTCCTTCTAGCGAGGAGTCCGGTCTTTCAAAAAAAAAAAGAAAAAAAAAGGGCAGTTTCTTGCTTTAAAGGGACACTGGACCCGTTTTCCAGCAGGTGCCGCTCCCAACCAATAGACTGGAGCACCCGGGATTCTCGCGAGGGGGGTGCTCTTATCACCTCTCCTCCTAGCGAGGCGCCCGGTCTTTCACGCAAAAAGAAAGGGGAAAAAAAAAGGTTGTGCTCTGTATGAGTGCATAATACTGCATATGCATCATCAATCTGAGTGCTAACGAAACTTGTTGCGATGGTTTTCCAGATCAACTTTGACTTGCTGGGTGAACTAGTCAAATTCAACCCTGCGATGTTCGTGCCTCTCAACAAGCTTTTGGTGGGTGATAAGTTCGACCGTCTTGTGGAGGTGAGGATCGACCTCCTCTCCTGTACTTTTGCAGATACCTCAAAATAACGCAATGACCGGTCCCAGGTAATTCCGTCGTCTTGCAATTGTCTGGCACCGTTTGCACAATTGCGACCCCGGTCATTGCGATGATTAGGAATGATTTTGTGTTTCACAATGCTGTGATGTCGTGTTCGACGGTCAAGCGGAATCGGATCTTTGTTTTTTTCCTCTCTTTATTTTTTTTTAAAGGCTTGCAAGTGTGGGATATCACAGTGTGGAACTGAGCGGTCCCAGGTAATTCCGTCGTCTGAACTGAAACTTATGCCTGTATTTCAACAGTGCATGGGCGTACCAGCCAAGCTAGGTACGTTGGTTTCACGTGGAAGTTTGAAAGATATGTTGTTAAGCTGCTCAGCATTGGCAGATACACATTGTTTGCTCTTTATGTAAGTTTTATGTATGGAGGTTTCTTACTTGCAACGGACATTTCTTCATGTGTGTGTGTGTGTGTGTGTGTGTGTGTGTGTGTGTGTGTGTGTGTGTGATCCTGGCAAAGCCACCATGCTACCTTCCTCACCCGAATACAACGTACTGTCATTGTAGTCGGATTAGGGCTATATATGTCAGTCTAAATACAGCAATAATGACCGTATATTGTATTCGGGTGAAGGAAGTATAGTCTTCTCTTCTCTGTTTTTCTGAGCTCTCTGGATCCCAACGTGTGTGGGTGTGTGCATGTGTGCGTGTGTGTGTGTATGCGCGCTTTTGGCTGAGGTTTCTTACATCTGAAGGGCATGTCTTGGTGTGTATGTGTGTGCTCTTTGCATTTGCGAAGGACTTCTTGGTGTATGTGTGTGTATGTGGTCATGTTCGCTGTACGCAACTACTCTCGGAAAAAGCAAGACTGTGGTCATGTTCGCTGTACTCAACTACTCCAGGAAAAAACAAGACTGTGCCAGACTGTTGTGTTAGACTTTCACCTACTAACCGCACTGGATCCCAATGTGGCATAGCAACGATCGGGTCTTCAACTACTTCGGTTATGCGACAGGATCCGATTTCAATGTTTATGAATTACACTCTCAGATTAAGAACTTGTCTTTTACTTTCTTCCTTTCTAAGTTTTAAGTTTTAATGACTGCGTCTATGTGCCTTTAATAGCCCCTATTATGCTACTCCGTTACATCCAAACTGAGGTTATATAACCTTTTATTACCGTGTAGAGTGACTTGATCTTACTTCCGAGATGTGCAGAGTTACTTGCAAGCTCTACAGGGTTTGCACCCCAACGAAGCTTGCAATCTATCTTCCAAGTCCTGCAGATTCAGTTTTTCTTGCTTAACCATGAATTCAGCATGCTCATCGAGTTATGTATTGCTCAAAGTGCTGTCATGCATGAAGGCATTTGCAGCACTTGCCACTAAGTCTGATGTTTGACAGACCCTACCAACTGGCATACAAGAAGTAGCTGGGGGAGGAGAGGAGAGATTTCCCATTGTTCATAGGGCACGAGGGCATGCTCTCTCTCTCTCTCTCTCTCTCTCTCTCTCTCTCTCTCTCTCTCTCTCTCTCTCTCTCTCTCTCTCTCTCTCTCTCTCTCTCCATTTGCTTCTATCGGGTGCAGATTAGCACAGAAAGAGAGAGATATGGTAAAAGGTATGGTCTGAGGGCATGCTCGCACTAGGACTTTTTCTCCCACAATCTGGGCATAATCGCGGTCAGATTTGTCCAGTTCTGGCCGTAATCTCAGTCAGATGCATTAACGAAAGTGCTAGTGTGAAGCAGAGATTTCCTGTTGCTCATAGGACATGGTAATCGCCGTTTGCTTCTGTCATGTGCAGAGTATCACAGAAAGAGAGATGATCACCTTCTCTTGCGTTTTTTTCAAACAAATCACTCTACGGACTACCGACAGCTCTTCACCACCTACCAACAGCTCTTCATCACCGCCCATCCCATAGAATCAAGAAAGAGAACGCCTCGTCCTCGTCCTCGTCCTCGTCCTCGTCCTCATCCTCGTCTTGTTGTTTCACAGCGATAACCTGAACTGTGAAAACTGACATAACATGAATAATCGTTGGCCTTTGAATCGCGTTGATGGGCATTCGTGTCAATGTTCTCAAACTCAGGTTAGCACCTTGTGTAGCCATTTCAAAGGGATAACCTGAGCTTGAGAAAAGTGACATGAATGTCCGTCAACCGGCAGTGCCTCGCATTTTCCGCGCCGCAACTGAGAGATCTTATTTTTGTTTTGAAGCGACATGAACATGCAGCATCTCATGTTGTTATTTCGAACCCGCAATTTGACGACATCTACCTTTACGTGGCTCGTTGGATGTGATCGCAGGTTGTGGTGACACACCTTGTGGACTCTAATGTTTTCATTCGATCTGTTCTGCTTTCACTGGAGTCATTCTGCTCGGGAACTCCGACACCCCCTTATGCTGGGCCCAGTCCACCTCATCCAAACAAAACCTCACGGTACTTGCGAGGTCAACCGACTTTGCTTAGAGACTCGAAGCCCTTCATGTTCAGGCAGAATGCCCAGGATTGGGCAGGTGGCGAGCAAAAGGCGATGTTGGACGCCGAAGATCTGAGGGGTTTGGGAAGGGAGATAGAGAGATCCTTCAGGATGATGAGGTCGTCGTCGTCTCCACATCTTTCGAGTTCCGGCTGGGAAAGAGGTGGAGGCACGGCAAGCACGGGCGGGCAAGTAAGTTTTGGCGGTCTTCCATTGCCATCGCCTGTGCAGTCGTGGATGTTGTTGGCATTGCCTTCGCCTCCGACATCGTGCCAGATGCTACCGTCATCTGCGATGAGGATGAGAATGAGCTCGGGAGGGAAGTGGGGAGTCGCCATGGGTTTGAGTCAGGTTGAGAGCTGCAAGCTGAGCATGTTCATGGCTGCAAACGCGATGAGATTACTCCATGATCTGATGTGCGCAGTCCGGCTGGATGACGTCAATCAGGACAACATCTGTGTGCTGAACACGGCATTGATTTTCCTCATTTTTGCAGAGCGGAATGGAGTGCTGGGCGCTTACCTGCAGCAGCTACGGTGTTCGGACATGGGTTTAGGCTGGGCTGCGCCCGGTGGGATGAGCAGCGGTGGGTTGGAGAAAAGTCCTTTCATGGGTCCTGGAAGCGTGACCAGAAATTTCAGGGCGCTGCTCGACTTTTGGCAGGAGTACTATCTCAAGAGGAGAGGGAAGGACTGTGTGAGTCTTGAATACTCTACGAACATCCCCTTTTCAGAATGGCTGCAGATGGTCGAGTTGCTTTGCTCCGGTCCGGAATGTTCCATGTCTCTGGTGTACTCGCCAGGTTTGCAGTGCCCATCGCTCACCGCAACGTCTGATCTTCCCCCTCGGCGATGCTGAGGTTTGCGAGCATGTACATAGAATGATTTGCAGCAGGAGGCAAAGTAGAGCGAGGGAAGGCCCAGGAGCAGGGAGGATGCTTTTGGCTCGGAAGGCTGTCGAACGCAGGGTGCTGTACTGCGTGGCAGGAGAAGTGTAATGGTTCTAAAGGTGGTGATGTGGTTCAACAAAGAGAGGGTGATTGTATGGTTTCCCATCTCTTGTTTGGTGTGGCGGTTTAAGGCCAGCATCTATAAAGGATACATGTGCTTTGCATCTTTTGGCTTTCAAGAGTGGGCTAACGGCACAGCGTGAGTGTGTGCACAACAGCCGGGTATGATATAGAGGGATTGCAGTTTAGAGAAGTGGGGGCTTTCGTGGTGAAGATGCGGCCAGGTGCACTTGCCTGAGGGAGATAGGAAGCATCATTTTTCTGAAAGAGGGCTATGTGAACTCAGAGCCAAGGAAGAGGGGGAGAAACTGCAAGATGGAGCGGTGAAGAGAGAGAGAGAGAGAGAGAGAGAGAGAGAGAG